TTCTTAGAGTCTTTTGACCTGTTTACCCGTCCGTTTTTCAACCATGGTCTTCCACTCCTTGAACTTCCCAAACACCTCATCTTTAGTTTTCAGAAAGTACAACCAGACTTTTCTCGAATAATCATCTATGAAAGTGACAAAGTAAGAACACCCGCCCTGCGATTTCACCGGAGAGGGACTCCATAGATCTGAATGAACATACTCCATAATTTCTTTTGAAGTGTGATGACTGGTACTAACCCTCACCCTGCGTTGCTTCCCTTTTACACAAGCCTCACAAAATTGAATTTTACCTATCACATCCCCACTAAATAAACCCTGCTTGCTCAACACAGACAACCCTAACTCACTCATGTGACCTAATCGACAGTGCCACAAATTTGTCCTGTCATCATATTTATCCAAGGACTGGGATACCGCCGCCGTTCCCATCACTGAACTGCCCTGTAGAAAATAAATTTCATGCTGCAGTTTTTCCTTCATCATTACCAGAGCACCTTTCAGGACTTTCACCCACTCACCTTCACCATGATATTTTAAACCATTCTTGGCTAAGGTACCAAGAGAAATCAAATTCTTTCTGAGTTCAGGAACATACCAACAGTCAAATTTCCTGACAGTACCGTCATGCAATTTTATCTGCACTACCCCACTCCCTTTTATGAGTAGAACCCCATCATCACCTAACTTCACCGTTCCATTCCACTCCTTAAAAGAAGTGAGTAGATCACGAGAGAACGTCATATGGTGAGAAGCACCGGTATCCATAATCCAGGAATCAGCAGTACTAGCACTACACGCTGTCAGAACTTCACCAAAGTCCCCATCATCAGAACTGTCTTGTACCACAGCAGCACTGCTGCCACTGTTACTAGAATCAACTTTTGTATTTCTCTTCTTCTGTGGACAATCCTTTTTAACGTGCCATTTCTCCTTGCAAAGATAACACTTAACTTTGCTAGAGGATTTTGATTTTGAACGCGACCTCCCATTCCCGTTACCCCTCTCATGTGGTCTTTCCCTACCTGCAAACAGACCTGAACCAGAACCCTCTTCCAGAGAAACCTTTCTTTTAAATTCTTTGGACATAAGGGCATCTTTCACATCATTAACAGAAATTGTAGTTCTACCATATAGCATAGTATCTAAAAAATTCTCATATGAACCAGGTAGTGAACACAATAAAATTAGGGCTTGATCTTCATCATCTACTTTAACCTCAACTCCTTGAAGATCAAGAATGATACGGTTAAAGGTATCAAGATGATCCTTTACCTGAGTACTTTCGGACATCCGGAGGGTGTAAAGACGTTGCTTCTGATATAGCCTGTTCGTGATAGAGTTGTTTTGGTACTTCTCACACAGTTTATTCCATAACCCAAAAGCCGTTGTCTGATCTACAACCTCCCGTAACACCTCATCAGTAACTGACAGCAAGATCGCGGAATGAGCCATTGCCAAAGTCTCCTTATTTACCTCCTCCTTCGTGTCTTTAGGAAACTTGTCTTCTCCCTCCAACGTAGCCGCACATCCTTGTTGAACCAGAAGTGCCCTCATCTTGACCTTCCAGAGCGTGAAGTCATTCGACCCATTAAACTTCTCCAGATCAAACTTATACGAGGACATCTTCAATCAATGAGATATGGCTCTGATACCACTTGTTATGAGAAAACGAGAAAGAAAGCAAATAAAGAATACAGAGGTTTTACGTGGTTCGATGACGGTGTGTCAAACTACGTCCACGGGCAGGAACCAGAGAGATTTTATTATAGTGATTTAGAGATTTACAATATGTCATCCGACTAAGAACCATAGTTGTCTATTTATAAGCACCCCAAAACACCCAAAACCCTAAGCCTATTTGTTATCAATTAGGATAAGCCCAAAAGGAATCCTGCCAATTGAAACAGCCCTTTCGCTTTGGTTTAGGGTCAGGTAGACCGCTAAATCCAAGTCACGTTTCAACAATATTTGTATAATTTTTTGTACAAATGTCATTCTATTAGTATTATAAGACACCAATAAAAATATTTTTGTAATTGTTTCTTAATTTGTACTACGTTTTGATATAATACTTAATATTTAAAGATAAACACGTAAAGATAAACGAGATCCTTAGAGTCGGAATGAGGTAGTATATGATATGATTAGTTAAATACTCCTTCCGCCCCATAACTATATATCTATTTGCTTTTTGCATAGAGTTTTAGAAATATTAGTATTATATTGAAATGTAGTAGGAATAAAGTAGAAATAACTAAAATAACCTTATTAGTATTGTGTGATATAAAGATAATGACATTTATGTAATATATTATAAGTTGTAAGGATATTTGTAATGTTAGGTAGATAGTACAATTACTAAAAAAAAGAAATGAATACTTTGTTATGGAATGGAGTAAAATAAAAAAATAGATACTTGTTATGAGACGGAGGAAAATATTACTTTGTCTATTTGTTTTACTTTTATATAGTAATATCATTGTAGATATATTTAATGGTCATATACACATTTATAATAAGATATATTAATTGAAAAATTCATCTTTTGTCTCATCTTAGTACAATTTTAATTTAATTTTCTTTTTAATTTTTAAAATAGTCTTGAGAGATTTTATGAACAAAAAGTAGCGATTGTTAGATTCCTATATTAATTAAAATATAATAATATATATACAAATTATATATTTATTAGTATACACAATATAAATGATAAAAAAATAAAATTATTCATTGTGTATTAAACGGGTCGAGCTAGTAATATATACTCAAAAGTATATTAGTATTTTAGTCAATAATAATGGAAAATTTGCAAAAACTCCTCTTTAGGTAGGTTCAATTATAATTTTAAAATATTTTATTTTTACTTTCGCAATTTAGGACATTATGTATACTCTAAACATTATTTTTGTCCTATGGCGCCGAAAAAACGCACGTGACCGTCACGTGCGCATTCGTGGCATGGCCGACACATACAAGACATCTCCATTGTTGTGTTGTCATATGCGTGGTCGTCGGACAGGTAACGCATAATTATTATTATTTTTTTTCACTTTCTCAATTTAGGATATTATGTCTACTATGAGTATTATTTTTGCCCATCACCAGAAAAATAATTTGTTTTAGTTTTTTTATTTATTATTTTATTGGATCAAATTAAGATTTAAAAAAATATATATTTTTTTTTATAAAAAAGATAATTCTACGTCACCTGTCCGACGACCCTAGAATAAATTGTCTTTTCGGAACCAAATAAAAATAATACTCGGAGTACAAATAATGTCCTAAATTGTGCAAGTGAAAAAAAAGAAAGATAATTCCATGTAATCTGTACAACGACCACGTGGACGACAACACAGTAACGACGACGTCCATATATGCGCTGGCCATTCCACGAAGGCACACGTGACGGTCACGTGCCTTTTTCCGGCACCAGAGGCAAAAATAATGCTCAGAGTATATATAAAATCGTAAATTACGAAAGTAAAAAAAATATTTGAAAATAATAATTAAACCCATTTTTTGCAATTTTCCTAGTAATAATTGATCCCATCTAAAAACACATTACATAATATATTATTACATATTAGTTACTAATTATACCGAAGATGTTTTATATAAACATTATGTATTGTTTAGTATTGTGATATTAAGAGATATGTAATAAACAATGATAATTAAATATATATGTGGAAAATTTATTTATTTTTTCTCAAAATGTAACTTAAAACAAAAATAAAAGGACAATACTATCAAATTATACTATACTAGCAAGCCGAATATGAACATAAAAAGTGATTGGCTTGACAATCAACTAGCAAACTGTGAGTTTAAAGTCTTATCTTTACATACAAAGAAGTATTGTATTTCGACAATTATATTAAAAAATTCTTGTTGATTCTCTCAATAAAGATAATGTCAAATTAAAATTAAATACTAAATCTAGAAAATATTTACGCCGCATATGAGGGTAGAATATCAAAGTAGGTGATACTATTGTAAATTAAACATGAATATAAATAGTGATTTGATCAATAATCAAATGGAAATATTATGAGTTTAATGTCCTATGTTTAGATACAAAAACACATATTGCATGTTAACAATTGTATCTATAAATGTTACTGTCCGCCTTTAAGCTCTTATTTAATTTTTGCGTTATTATATTTAATATTAAAAATTTCTTTATATTTGTATAATTGTTTTGCACAAATATCATTATAATAGTATTATAAAAAACTAATAGAAATATTTTTGTCATTTTCTATTGATTTGTACTATATTTTCATATAATAATAAAGGATATGTTAATAAAAACAATACTCATTCCCACCATCCAAAATAACTTTCTAAAATTTTGTAAATTGTTATGAAATAATAATATTTTAATAATTTATAAATGTGTAAGATGATTTTGATATTTTTATATATAGGTTAATTGTATATACTTCCTTAATCATTTAAATCTATTTCAATTTTGTTTGTATTTTACAAAAAAATATAAAAGTAAATTTCAATAACAGAGATAGTATAACGAGATATTTGTAATTTATGTAAAATTTTAAAAAATATTTTAATATTAATATATAATTATTTTATAATAAAAACAAATATTTTTAACAAAAAGAATAAAAAAATAGTAAAAAAATATTTTAACTTTTAAAAATTTAAATTTAATTGATATACTCTCTCCTTCTTTGCTACTGTGTTTCTTCTACCGTATATACTTGAATTTAGAAAAAATATAATTAGTAAATAATTAAAAATATATTAGTAAAAATAATTATTTTATAATAAAAATAATTAAAATTAAAATAAAAATAATTAATTAGTATAATTGAACTTAAAAAATTATAAATTAAAAAATTTAAAATAACATTAAACTTTATAATACTTTTCAAAGAAAAGAAAATGATAGACGTGGACAAGGCAGATAAGCGGCAAGGGAGTAATATACATCTGTTGACCTTTTGTTGAAGATCTTCCATTAAAAAGGAGACCGGTAAGTGCACCTACTCGCCGTCCTGGTGGAATCACACACAGTGACAGCCAGTGGCTAGGATTGAATCTGAAGCGACATTGATTGATTGATGATTGAGGAGGGAGGTTCAAGATCAGGCTCATTCATTCATTTCTCACATTTAGTTTAATTTAGTTTGTTTCGAGGATTCAAAGAGGAAAGGGAAAAGATGAGTGCAGCAGCAGTAGGTTTGGGGAAAATGGTGGATAACAAGCAGATTATATTCAAAGGATACATAGAGCAGCGAGCACCTGAGGAGACAGACATGGAAGTGAAGGTGGGAAACAAGATGAAGCTGGAAGCTCCAAAAGGCTCTGGCGCCATCCTCGTCAAGAATCTCTACCTCTCTTGCGATCCCTACATGCGTGCCCGAATGCGCGACTTCCATGGCTCCTACTTTCCGCCTTTTGTTCCTCATTCCGTATGCTAATTAATTAATTTCTTGTTCCTTCCTAGATTGAAATGCAATGCAATGCAATGCAATGCAATGCTTCTTAATTAGCAGTTTAACTTACTTTCTGGGGGGTTTTGTTTTGGATAAGGTTGTTGAGGGATTCGGTGTGTCCAAAATAATCGATTCAGATAATCCCAACTTCAAAGGGGGAGAGTTTGTTGCTGGATTTACTGGGTGGGAAGAGTACACTTTGATTTACAAGACTGAGCAGTTGAGAAAAGTTGAGCCTGATCATCGTATTCCACTGTCGTATCATATCGGCCTCCTCGGTATGTATGTATGTATATAGTTCATTAACTTGTCTATGTTTTGGATTGAACTCTTCGATTATATTATATGTTCTTCTGAATAAAGCTAATCTAACTGGAGGGGGGTTGTACATATCTTATAGATCGAGGAAATGAGTATACACATTGTGTGCTGGCATTGCATTACTAAAAGATATAAGAGTTTGTTGATGATGAGTATTTGAGCAAGTAAGAACCACAACATGTGGCTGCAGTCTGCAGAGTCATTTTACCAGCTGATAAATCAATCATTATATATATATATATATATATATATGTATAAAACATGTTTTGTGAACTTGGGTGTAGCAAATCCAATAGGGAGAAGAATTTGCCTTGAACTTGGACAATAGTGTAGTGAATAGAATAACAAGTTTGATATTCTTAGCTCTTAATATAATTTAGGCAAAATTACTTATTGGATTAAATACAATATTTTAAAAATTATAAGAAAGTCTCGTGCAATTCTTTTTTAGGATTATGTGTAATGGTTCATGAAATATGAGGGAGTCTTGTGGAATTTCGAAATCACGAGGAAGTATGGTATTGATTTTTCAAATTACAAGTAAACTATATGTGATTTTGCCAATAAATTTATATCATGAGGAATGCCTTGTATGTGTTGATCAAGGAGAGAATGGCATCTTTATATTGCATTTATAACTTGTTTAAGCAAGTAGTTGGAACTTGTGTAGGGATGCCTGGCTTCACAGCTTATGCTGGATTCTATGAGGTTTGTAGCCCTAAGAAAAACGAATATGTGTTCGTATCTGCTGCCTCTGGAGCTGTCGGGCAACTTGTTGGCCAGCTTGCAAAACTACATGGATGTTATGTTGTTGGAAGTGCCGGGTCCAGCGCAAAAGTGAGCATCCACACACACACACACATATATCCGATATATATATATATATATAGATACATATTCGAAAGTGGAATTATTGTACAGCACTCAACAATGTCATATGGTGTCTTTAGGTCGGTCTTCTGAAGAAGGAACTTGGTTTCGACGATGCTTTCAACTACAAAGAAGAAGGGGATCTTGATGCTGCCCTTAAAAGGTCAGCCATCCATTCATCCATCAAGAACATTTTGATTAGCAGCCATATGAATGACTAACTAACTAACTAACTAACCAACTAAATTGCAAAAAAATAGATACTTCCCAGAAGGCATCGACATATACTTTGAAAATGTGGGGGGAGCCATGCTCGAGGCTGTGCTGCAGAACATGAGAGTTAATGGACGGATTGCTGTTTGCGGGATGGTGTCTCAGCATAGCATGTCGGATCCAGATGGGGTCAGGAACTTGTTCAATCTTGTCCCAAAGCGCATCCGGATGCAGGGCTTTCTGCAGAGCGATTTCTTGCATCTATATCCGAGGTTCCTTGAGGAGGTGGGCAGCCTCTACAAGCAAGGGAAGATAAAGTATGTGGAGGACAGGAATGAGGGGCTCCAAACTGGTCCAACTGCATTTGCAGGACTCTTCTCTGGGAAGAATACTGGAAAACAGGTTATTTGTGTAGCCCATGAATAAAATAAAATGAACAAGATAGATGGAAACAAAAGCATATCTCAAGACTCAAGTCAAGGATGATGCTATCTGTTTTCTAGTTTGCTTATTCACTTTAATTAATTTTTTGCATATGATATTCCAACCGCTTATTTTCCCCGAGGATGTTGAGTACTGTTACTATTATTAATGATTCACGTGTAAGGCTTTAGAGATTATCTAAGCAACCTGTGGAATTTATCTTATGATTCAAGTGGTTTTCTCTCACCCATTAAGTAGAAAGAAAATATTAAGCTAAATTATTAAGCTTTCTCAAAAAATAAATGTTAGTATTAATTTGTCGAAGTTCCTCGATATATGTTTTCTTGTCTTTTCGTTGAATAATTGAAATGGTAACTTTAAGTATTATCTTGTAATAAAGTATAGGACAAAGAGCCTTCGTCGACCAGTTCGTTCAAGTATTCTCATTCTTGCAGATATCACGGACGTGGAAAGTTCATATTTTGACACTTCTAAAACTCATTGTCCTAGAAGTATGAAGTCTTCGTCCACGTTTAATCCGAGGAAGGGGTGTTCATGTTGCACTCCTTTCAGGGAAGCTATGTTCGTGACATCGACAATATTTTATTAGATTAATGGCAGGGCCGGTCCTGATTTTTTATGGGCCCAAGGCGATAAAAAGAAAATAGGCCCCTATATAAAAATAATTTTATTTATCTAAAATAAATTTAAATAATCAAACAAAACAATTTCTTCTAATATTTTTACAAACAAAATCATCGATAATAGCATCAATATCAATCTTATCTAACATTCCTTTTTCAATAGATAATATAACTAAATAAATTAATCTCTCCTGAGACATGGACGATCTTAAATAAGTTTTTTATAATTTTAATTTTAAAAAATTTCTTTCAGTCGATGCCACAGTTATGGATACAATTAATAATATACGATAAGCAATTGAAACATTTGATAGCAATCCGCAACTTTGATAAATTCAAAAATTTCTATTGGCGATTTTAAATTAACTGGTAAAATCATTTGCAAAACTTTAATTCTTGGATAGTTTATTCTATGTCAATATCAGATACATTGTTATCAGAAAAAAGTGATTGAAAATATATTACAACATTTTGTTAATACTTTATCATTTAAATATTTTAATTTATTTGAATTAAATAAAAAACCAAATATTTTGTTAAACATTTTTAATTGTTGAAACCTATCATTTAGCGAGGTAATTGTCATATTTACTACAATTAAAAAATAGTTGACTTTAAAAAATCCTTCTCCTGTTTGAACTTCTTCATTTTGATCAACATCATCAAAATTTCTTTTTCTAAAACTGTTACATTTAGTTGGAAAAATACATTCAATATCCATACCAGTAGTAATTTCTTTTGCAATATTCATACTACTATAAAATCCTTCGTTTCTATATTTTTTTAAATATTAATAAAGCATCTTCTAATTGTTTTACAGCCGTATCAACGCAAATAAATTCAGTTTGTAATTTTTACTTATACTATTAATAACAAATAAAATAGCATACCGAATAATTATACCTAATAAAAATTCATAAAATTCAAGTGAATTAATCAAACTTTCTACTTCACTTTTTAATTTAGTATCATCACAAGAATTAATTAAATTTAATAAAGCTAATCTAATTTGAGGACCTTGAAATCTAATAGCTTTAGATATTTGAAAAATATTTTAAAGTTAAATTTGAAACATTATCAAGTAAAATTTTCCATCTTTTTTGTAGAACTTGAAAATAATATATATAAACGCTGAACAACTTAAAAAAAATAAACTGCTTTTGTACAAGAACGTGTCATATCACACACAGGAAGGTTAAAACTGTGACAAACACATGACATATATAATATTTTAGGATTCATAAATCTTTTTTGAACCCCTTGATGTTTAGCTTTCATATTCGAACCATTATCATAACATTGACCTCTTATATTATTAATATCAAGACCTAAAGCTTCAAGTGCATTTTTTTATTCATTTAAAAGTTCTAAATCGCTTGTATCATCTACTTTTAAAAATTGTAAAAAATATTCTTTTATCTGAATATTACTACTTGACATGTTTATACATCTTACAATTAATATCATTTGTTCGTGATAACTAATATTTGGAGTACAATAAATAATTATTGAAAAATATTTTGATTCTTTAATAATTTGTATAATAGAATTTCTAACTCTGTGGGCTAGGCTAATAAAAAAAATAATTCATTTTGAATTTTGTGGCTAAAATAATGATAATATGATCTTGCATTATTATATCAAATTCTGCAATCATTTCAATTATCCTTAAAAAATTACCATTATCATCTTGATAAAGTTTTTCACTCGATCCTCAAAAAGCTAAATTTTATTTAAAAAAATATTTTACAACCGATATTATTCTTATTAAAACTTGCCTTAAAAGTTCTTTTTCTTTTATAGTTTCTAATTGAATATCTTTATCAATTGCTTGATTTTTATTTAATCTCATTTTTAATTCATTTCAAATATTCATGTGTTATGTGTTCAATATTATTTTAGTCTTTCCGCTAGATGCTTCAAATCATTAAGTCCATCGTTAGCCAACAAATTCTTGAAATTATTTATTTTTTTAAATAATTTAAACAAAAACAATATACTTTATCTTCATATTTTAGATAAACCAACCATTTTCTATCCGTAATTTCTCCGTTATTCAATTTTCTAGAATAATTAAAATATGAAAAATGTCTAGAAGTATTATCTAATGGAAAAGGTAGATTTAGTTCTCTAATAGGCCCTTTTTCGATTAAAATATTTTTTGATATATCATCAAAATTATTTCAATTTCTAGGATCATAAATATCTAAGTTAGAAACTATACTATCTTCAACTCTGTCAATCTTATTTATGATTATGATCATTATTTACATTATGTATATCAGTGTCAATTTGATTCCTGTCAATCTTATTTATGATTATGATCATTATTTACATTATGTACATCACTATCAATTTGATTCCAAAGTTCAATACTATTATTATTTGGTTTACTAAATTTTGTAAATGTTGTATTTCTATTTAGAAATTTATTACTAGCACCCTTTTGTGAATTTATAAATTCTTATTCTTATTTTTTTTATTTTTTTTTCACTCTCTCAAAAATATTTTTTAGATAACATCACTAAATTTATAAATTTAATAAAATAAAATAATAAAGAACAATCACATCCCATTTATAAATGTCTTTTGTCAATAATTGAATTTTATTAGCTTGCAAACACTATTCCTGCAAAAATCAACAAGTATTCAATTAATAAATATTATTTAACATTTATAAAGAAAGAACACTATATTATTATTTATTATTTAATAATAAACTGTTTCAATAAAACAGTATGTTATATATATATATATATTTACTAATAAAACATGGTAGTAGACTCATAAGATATATAAATAAAATATATAATATATTTCGATAAAAAATATATATAATAGAATCAATCCTTTCTTCATTTTTTATCCAAAACTAAAACAACCTATCCGTTTATTATAAAATAGTATATATGAACAAAAATTAAAATAAAGCTAAGTGATAAAAAATTATCATTTTATTCATTTATAACAATAAAATAATATAATTAGAAATACAAAAAATAGTAAAATTATAATCAAGAAATAAAAGTAGAAGTTAATTTTAAATGAGATATAAAATTAAAATGTTAAATTTCTAATTCTTAAGGATTAAAAAAAATAAAAATCATATATATATTTTTTTAAATGACTAATATAATAGAACTAAAAAAATAAAAAATAAAAGAAGAAATCTTACCGATAGGGAACGGACTGACGGTCCCGTGGAGTGTGGAGGGGTGGAGAGGTGGAGGAGAGACTACTGACAAGATATCAGGCGTGAGTGCGGCAGTAATTACTAAATAAAAATATATCGGAAATTGATTCAAAAAATTAAAATATTAAAAATCAAAATTAAAAAACCAATATTAAAGTACAGAGAAAATTGAACTATTTATTTGTTAAAATGAATAGAATGAAAATATCAAAACAAAAAGAATTACTAACCTTTGTGAGAGAGATTTGTCATTCATTTCCATCTTAGTGTAGAATTTTAGAATGCACTTAACTAACAGTGCAGTTAATATCCATTGTATCACTGCTATTAATTAGTTTTGAAATTATAAATATTATTATTGTTACTAATAAAAATATATTTCATAAATATTATCTATTTATGAGATAATTAATACAACCTCTTTTATAAAAATTATATATATATATTACATGTATATATACGAAATGGGCTCCTATTTGCTCTGGGCCTTGGGCGGGCGTCCCTCTCCCCCGGGTTCAGGCCGACCCTGATTAATGAAGTGGAGCTTTTCTAATATTGGTGCTGCAGGTTTTTATTTTCTACTTGATTTTTTTAATGAAGATAGAGGAAATGATGCAACTTTGTGATCTTTACGATCAAATCAAAATATTTATACATGAATATTTATATATATTTATCTATTTATGCTTTTGAAAGTTTGGGTCATGGGAGAATTGTAATAAGGAAATATTTGTGTTTAGGAATGCCCCGTACAATGTTTTTGTATGTTTTACATAATCAATTGAAATATTAAGACCTTTATATTTTATAGAATCAATTGAAATATTAAGACTTTATGTATTACAGAATCACACATTCATCCATTCATCTAATTTTAAACTAATAGCCAAATCCATGTACTTTGAATCCATGAAAAGAGAATTGCAAGTAGATTTAAAAAAATATATATATTTTCTAGTCCGGCAACACATCCATTAATTTCTGGTTTCTCCTCATTTTCTATAACTGCAGAATTATTTCTCCAAGTTTCGACCGCATAGAATCAATCAGAGTGAGTAAACATGTAGCATTTCTAATCTTAAGTTATTAGGAATGAAATTCAAGAATAGATGTTAAAACTGCTCCAGGCCTGGGGATGAAAGAACTATGAAACAGTGATTAAGATTAGGAACTATATTATACCCCCTAATAGCAGGATAGCACACCAACAACACTTTATAGGTCACATTTACTCACATGCACTGGCAATGAGAAAGATCCATTACAATTGCACCTTAATGTGTGAAAATATTCAAATAAAAAAAAATTAAAAGCTACCGAAATACTAGAGGAATATAGTCACCGAAAAGTTGT